GCATAAAAAAATCAGATTAGTAAATGAAATTGGACCATAATCTTAGTAACTTTAGGGGTCAAAAATTTTTTAAAAATATGTTGGTGTGTTTGGATTGTCTTCTATTTTACTTTATTTACACCTTATTTACACACACTGATTTACTTGCATTATCAATACATTTTTCAATCACCTTTTTATCTCACATATATCATATCAAAAAAGTGTTACAGTACTTTTTCACAAAATTATCTCAAATAATTTACAATCCAAACATGTTCAGCGCTCCTTGCGTTTGGAGTTTAAACATTTTTGCTTTAATTTTTTCCGGTCGAGTTTAAAAGAATATCCACTGGAAATAGACAGGTAGCAATGGACTTCATTTTTAAAAATTTTGCATCTCAATTGTAGGTGAGTCCTTAGCTCAATTGGATTCTTTTCTTCTTTCTTACCATTCAAGGATATTATTCAAAGTCCTAAAACAGTCACTGACTCGCAAATAACCTTAGTTCTTCCACTTGCCTGAGTAAGATAGATTTCCCGAACTTAATCCTGCATGATTTACTTTGTATCTAGCCCTCTGTGCTTGAAAAGGGTGTGGCTGATGTTGCTTAATGGACATCTTTGTTTGCCAAGCCTACTTAATGTAATATGTACCTGAACTAGAGTATTCTTGCTTTGTGTCTTTGGATTCATCATCGTACTTGATTGAATCCTACTGTCTGTAAAGATTTTTTGGATAATGCCCATCTATGTAAATTTGAATTTCAAGCTTTTTGATGTGATTGGTGGTTTATAAGAGAATAAGTTAGTTGGGATCCTTTTTTGCGCCTTAAGATGTTCTAAAAAAATGAAAAACGGTTTATGAATTTGTATGATGGGTGTCTTTTTCATACAAATTTTTATGATAAGCCCTGTGGTACATTCCTCATTATCGCTGAATTTCGAACTTTTTAACTTAAAAATGTTTAAATTATTGATGCCTTTTCTAACTTCAGTATAATATTCACTGGTGCATTTTTATTTGTGTGGATTTCACATTTATGCTTATCAGATTGGCGTGTATAATATTCTTGTCTCCTCGGTTTTATAGGTAGTAAGGCATCAGCTACTATTCAACCATTTCTTTTACTCCACCTTAATATCTGTCCAGATCCTGTCTGTACTATACAAGATGCGCTAAAATTGTTTTCTGCTCCAGAGACCCTTGAAGGTTATCGAACCTCTGCAGTTGGAAAGGTAAATTCTTGAAATTTATTGGGTCTAGACCTTCTACGGTTTTAGCTTTATTTCCTTCTGCCATGGATAAAAAAAGATATTAATGTTATTGCATCATCATCAACATTAGACAATTTTGGACTTCAGAGTAATAGGATTGGATGCTAAATCATGGTGTCTCTTTGGCCATGTGTAATGATAAACATGATATGCATGGTTTTAGTAGAATGAAGGAATAGTTTGAAACTTCTGTCCACTGAAAGTTATTTGGCTTTTAGTACTCATTTTGTTTCATACTTAATACCTGGAAGCTATATTTCTTCTTATGCGCTGTTTGCATCCCTATCCAGAATAACGTTTGTGGGGTGAAAATGCTAAATGAAAAGGAAACAAGGAGTTCTTGTGTCAGTTGTTTTGTTTAAGCTAGTCTGAAATTGGTGATTGTTTTTGAAATTGTAGTTCTAATAGGCTTTTACTGCATTCAGTTAGAAATACAAGGACTTTGCTTCTAAAGTAGCAACTTTAAAGGTTAGTAACACTAGCAAATGAAAACAGGCCTGTTAGATTATGCAACTTGATGCGGGATGCACATCCATTTCTAGCAATACAGGGTCACGGGGCTCCTTCTGAGAGAGTTGTAACTGGATGTGAATAAACAGGCTTAAGCAGGTAATTGCTAATAAAGCCCAGTTAATCAATCTGGGAGTTTTTCCAATAAGTTATAATAAGAGAAATGAACTTGTGTCAACTGGGCGCTAAGAATATGAAAGGCTTTGAGAAAGTAAGAAATGGAGAGAATGAAAGGAAGAGCAGGATAAGTTGATGATTGACAACTAATTGAAGGGAAATTGTGGAGTAGAAGTAAACCAAGATAGAGAATATAATGCAAGTAGAATGAAGAGAGAGTCATCCTGAAAGATAACAAAAGGATAAAGAGGAATAGAGGAAGAGATTCATATTACAAGAAAACAAAGAGCAGGAAAATATTAAGAGAACACAAAACTGAGATTTATTTTGGGGGAGGGGATCGAGGAGCTTGGTGACCATGGAGAAAGAACTTGGGTAGATAGGGTTGATTGACATTGATTCTAGGCTGATGCGAGTGGAAAGCAACTCGAGAGCTATCGGGTCAATGTCATTGCTGGCATCCACATTGATGGATGGGTTGCAGCACATGCTGATCTTATATCGTGGTACCAAAACTACAAAGTGAACCAAAAGTCTAGTGGAAGGCAGCAAAGCTGGTTGAAGAACAGATATCAAAGGAATTTATAGACATGATGCTTCATTTCTGGGCTTAGATGTGCCAGATACTGGCTTGCACAGTTGCACCAACACATAGTCCATACGTACCCCCTACCCATCTGTATGGTACCGCATGTGAACGTTACTGTTCCTTGCATCCCTGGCTTTAGACAGATGCCCCTTTTCCACTATGGCTGCAAGCAAATTGTTTGTATCAGATGCTTGTCTCATCTATTATGATGCATTCTGTTGTCTTATCTGTTTATTTTACTGATTCTAGTATTTTGACACCATGGTGTGACTGGTTAGGTTTAATAATGAAGTTAAGAGTTTTTCCTCTCTTTTTCTTTAAAATATAAGAGCTTGTTCATCTTATAGTTTCTGCCTGGTCTTTCATGTCTTCCATTTGTTTGAAGTCGATTTCTAGTGGTAGTTATAATTTTTTTTAAAATAAAAAACAACTAAAAGAATGGAGATAACTATCCTTAAGTATGTACTGATTATACAAGGATACATGATTAGTCTCAGGCCGAGGTGGTTAATGCTAGCAAATCAGTTAAAATTCTGGGGCTCTCAAAGATAATGGTATTGCACTTGATGCGATTCAGCTACGAGGGCCGGAAAAGTACAAAATTGCATAAGCCTATACACTTCCCATTGGAGCTTGTTCTTGGGCGTGAATTGCTTGTCTCTACTTCTCAGGTACACTTTCTATTTGCTCTATTATTTTATAGTGAAGCATTATTACCACTGTGGCTTTTGCTGAATTATTTTTCAAGTTACATCTCGTGGCTTTTTGGCGGTTCTTATTCACATTTCTGTGGATATCCTGTATTATTCTTGAAAAGATTTTCTTACCTTTTTGTTTGACGTCATGTAACTCTTTTACCCCTTATATATTGTAAGGCATCTTGAAAAGGTGCTTTTCATTGCCCCATGACATGGAAGTGCCTATGATTCCCTGTAACATAGAGCTTTTACCCATTTCCGTGGAGATAAAGAGTCTCTTACATAATGAGCCTCCAATGAATGAGAAAAGCTTTTTGCTGTTTTGGGCTTTGTCTAGCTTGATCCATTCCCTGTCATATCTTATGTTGCTGCTTAGTTATAGACTGCAGCGAGTGCCAATTTTGGCACTTGAGACGAGGAATGAGTATCAGGAATGGCATATAGCACAAATATCTCCGCCATAAACCTAAATAGGATATCTTTTAGCTTAACATTGTTGTGTTGTGAAGCATAAAACTATTCGTATTACCTTTCATATGCTGTCTTTCTCCAATGGTTGGATACTTTATTTGGATGGTAAACATTTTTAGAAAAAATGTTGAACTAGACAAATTACTCTGTACTCACATCCCCACTTGTATCCAAATATTTAATTACATTCATGCAGCTGTACCCTATACTGCCCTCGTCGAATCTCTAGGACCTGGGGGGCACGCATTGGTTGCTAAATTGAGGTTTCCTTTTGCAGACCCTTGAATGACCTCTTCAACAAAACTACGGAAATAAAAGATACAGTTCAGTCGTTATTGCAACTCGATTTCTTTTAAAATCATGAAGAAATGATTCAGACCTCAGAATAAAGCTGATGTAAAAATCTGTCGAAAGAGTTGCTGAAATTTAGTAATATAAGTAATTGCGATGGGTTTCGATGACATACAGACATGTTTATATGTAATTCCTATGGGTATTTCTTTAATTAGATTGTGGTTTATATGTTTTTGGTACAGGGTAGAAGATATGAACTTGTGGCAACTATAACTCATCATGGTATGGACCCTTCGAAGGGCCACTATACTGCAGATGCCCGCCTTCTCAATGGAAAGTGGCTACGATTTGATGATCAATCTGTGACATCCATTTCTGATGAGGAAGTGCTGCACAATCAAGCGTATGTTTTATTCTACTGGCAATCGTAGTTGGATGACTGGGAGATTTTACACCTTGCTACCAGTTTAGTGGGTGAAGAAGCCCTTGTACATGTACCTTTCAATATTGAGGATGTAAAGCTGATATAGATGTCAAATTAGTTGATAACACCAAACAGAAGTTTCTTTCAAGGAAGTTGTTGTCATTGTTGGATAGGTAAAAGAGCAGAGGCTGTTAGGATGGATGTCATAACATACATTGAAGAAAGAACATTCCAATTTGAGGTGAGTCCGAATATTAGAAATTGGTAGTTGATGACACATTTGACTCTCTAATTGCATTTCAATTCTGCATATTCTATTGTTTCATTGACAAAGAATATGCATACCATGCTAACTTTCAACTAACGATTTTGTTTTGCATGACAAGGAATTGAACTGGATGAAGGTAGATATGGCATGGGTTTTTTTTTTTTGGGTGCAGAAGAAATGGATTGCATTGGCTTAAACGTAGTGGTAATACAAAGTAATCACCAGTACATAATCAATTTATAGAAGTCTTTTTGCAGCATATGTGAGTAACACCAAAATAAGAACGCAAAAACAACATGCAAATTGTTTATGTATCTGCTTAGATGAGGTGTTGATTGTTTTATGTATCTGTTTACATGGAGCAACAGAATTTTACCGTTCGCCACCTCCTCCGCCGCTACCAAAACCACTACCAACACCAACACCCTTGCCAGCACCAATTCCACCTCCATGACCACCACCACCTCCTCCACTGCCTATACCGCCTCCTACTCCTCCTCCACTACCAACGCCAATACCCTTGCCAGCATCAAATCCTACACCAGCTCCAACTCTAATTCCCACACCAATTCCGCCGCCTCTGCCTCCCTTGCCAGAACCAGCGCCAATTCCTACACCAACTCCAACTCCAATTCCCACACCAATTCCACCATCTAAACTGCTACCTATACCACCTCCAAATCCACCTCCTACTCCTGCACCAAATCCACCACCATGCCCAAAACCTCCTACAAGACTTCTGCCACCACCTCCACCTCTTCCTCCTCCAATGCCATCTCCTAGTCCCTCCTACTCCAAATCCTTGTCCACGCCCAAAGCCACCACTAACGCCTCCTCCTCCTCCATCATCACTTCCTCTCCCTTCACCTCCACCAATTTCCCCTACATGTCCACCAACTCCAAGTCCATTTTCATGACCCAAGCCACCTCTAAGGCCACACCTCCTCCTCCTCCACTGCCACCAAGTCCTCCACCAGCTCCAAATCCACTGCCATGACTTAACCCTTCTTTGGTACCACCACCTCCCCTTCCACCAAACCCTCCTCCAACACCAACACCTACTTCTAACCCTCCACCTTTATTTAAGCCACCCACAACTCCTCCACTACCTCCACCTTCACCACCTTGTCAATCTCTTCCAACAAACCCTTCACCACCTCTATGTCCACTAGCATCACTACCCGACCTCTCTTTTCTATCTTGCCATTTCCGAGTGTAACTGCACTAAAGTCTAACACCACAGTAAAGATGAGAAGGAGCACGCAAAACCATTTTTGAGTAGAATCCATATTGTTCACGGGCAAACAAGCAGTAACTCATATAAAACATGTCATATAGTAATTAGAAGACACCATAACGCTGTTTCATGGTAGATGCATGCAATAATGCCATAAATGTCATGTCCCTTAGAGGCCTGGTTTCACCTCAGTTTCTTATAAATTCATCCAATTTTGGTTCTTAATACTATTCCATTTCAAAATGCAAAATGCCTATGTCTATGCCTATTTGGGTCAGGTGACGGAAGATCATGATCTTTACTTGACTAGTTACCTCCAAGGGCAAGGATCACTGTGCGCGAGCATTGTGGTTAATGCAACTTACGTTATGGGTATAGCTCCGAGAATTTGCTCTTAGTAGAAATAGAACATTGTCTCGTCATATCAGAGCAATTATTCCTTGTGTAGGTTTAGTAATATACCATTTGACTCCATATCATCAAAATCGTAACCAAGGAGGTGTTTAGGTCATAGTTCAACTAGTCGAACTAATTCAATCCTGGTTTAATGAATTTTAAAAATAAATTATATGAATATATGTGCATAGAATAAGACATTCAATGCATCAATTAAGGCTTTATCTGATAAAAAGTTTAATATATAAGAACTTGGACTTTCACAAATAAATTTTTTTTATTTTAAATTATAAGTTCAAACAAATAAATTTTATGTTAATTGTATCTACCAAAAAATAATCTTAAATCCTACCCAAAAGTAGCACAATATTCTTAAATTAAATAAAATTCATGTATTTGGGAATTAGACATTGTGAATTTAAACTTTAAACCATGTCTTTTGGAATTAAAGATTGCAACTTAGTTAAAAAAAAAAACTTGGAGCATAGAGGAAGTCAAGAACTAGAAAGTAGAGACGAAAACTTGATAAGAGGCAAAAGGTGAAAGAAAATGAATGGATGTGACGCTTAGTAATTAGTCTTTAGGGTCAAGGTGAACCTATTCTTTTATTTTTTTTATTTTTTTTAGTTTAGTAGTAAAAAAAGAAACTGCCGATTCAACGGTTCATTCTGATTCGAATAGTTCACATCGGTTCTTAAATCCTATCAATCCAAAATATGAAACAAATCGTAGTAATGGCTGGTTCACGGTCCGAATAATCAAACTGAGCCAACCGACCAATCCAACCCGAGTTTCAAAACAATGCAAGTAGTACAGCAAAATGGCATTTTGGGTTTGGGAAGCTTATTAAAAGGAAACAAAAAGAGAACATTTAGGGAAGCTTTCCCGCTTTTCAATGCAAAAAATGGCATCATTTAAAATTTTAAGCACCAATATCAGACTTTTCAAATAGTGCTTAAAGATTAAATCCATTCTGAACGTGATTTCAATTATAACTATTATCTTCACACAACAAAATATACAATTCTTCTGTGGTCCAAGAGAGATTCCAAATCAGAGTAAAAGGTGAAGGTTTAAGGATGGAATTAGGCTCTATTGTTGCCTGACGGATTTTCCTAACGACCACGGAGGTCAGGCCTCTTCAGCATGACGCTGTTTACCGATTTCTTAAATTGCAGGCCTTAGCTTTTTGATAGTTGTATGGACTATGGGGATGAGCCCGCCCAAATAGATGAATTAGCATACACGAGTTGTATAGTGGACTCCATCGGCCCAAATCTACTTTGAAGGCCTTTGAATGCCAGATGCCTGTATATCGATTAATTGGAAAAAAAAAAAAAAAAAGATAGAAGTTTTCAAGAGCGATATAAGAGTTTAGTTACCATATTGTGCAATAAATCTTTGTCATTATTTAAAATACTACAAAAAAAAAATTCTACTTTGTTCATTTCTTAGCCAGGAAAGAATAACAATGAGGTGGTCTATTGTGTCCATAGGAAAAGCAAATTAATGCCTCCTCAAAATAAGGGGAAAATAAAAGTAGTAGAATTATTCAAATGGTTTAAAAAAAAAAATCCAACTTGTAGTTATTCTTAGATGTAAGTATTAAGGAGATAATAAACAATTTATCTTTCTAAATGCCATATAAAAGAGAAGTTTTAAGACAAGAAGTGGCAATTTTGGCAGAATAAGTAAAGATTGAGTCTGTGCTATCATTGACTTGATATTGCGTATAAAACTTTTTTGTCAACCTAAAAAATAATTTCTTCGCCTACTACTCACCGTCTTTATTTTTAAGTCAACGTAGAAATTTCTATGTAATTCAACAACCTTTTACTTTAGGCAAAAGACTATTCTGTTGGCTGACCTTTTCAATATTTCTTAATAAATGTATTCTTGTTTTTGATTAAAGAGCAAAAGGAAAAAAAAGGGAAAATAGTGTATTCTAGTTACGTTGACTATATGTTATTTGATGAGTCCTGTCTGGTATTATTTATAAACCAACATGTTAAAATTTCTAGAGAACTTTTGATGAATTGGAATTCTTCCATTCAAAGACGAGTAGGGCATACTTTTGACATCTAGGCATCAATTGAAAAGTACTCTTTTAAAATTGCCTTTCTATTTTTTCTATCCTTAAAGAAACATTTGTCCAAGAGAAAGTTGGACTAATAACACAAAGTCAAATGCTGTCATATTGGTTTATTTTCTTTGGAACAAGAGTCAACTATCCATTGAACATTTCAATATAAAAGCTTCTTCTAGCGTAGTTTTTCAACAATTGGCAACTAGAGAGAAAGTTGGGTTTTGTGGACTGCTAAAATTTATTGTGATAGCTGTTTTGGAAAGATGTCACTGCAAATAAATATCATCATTTCAAAGTTCTTCAGTCTCTCCAATTTTGAGCTTGATTACTCAATGGTCCAATCCTACTGCATGAATTTTGCTAGGAAATTGTCCAACATTTAAAAGTTCTTGTAATTTGACCAAATCTCCAAGGAAAAGATTGTTTAGTATAAGCTCAGAAAATGTGTTAGTTACTAATAATTAAAAGGAAGGAATTAGAAAAGAAAAAGAAAACCAATTTGAGTTAGATTTTAATATTTCAAAGTTAGTTGAAGCACAATAAGACTTGTTATTACTCACATCTTAATGCAAAGATCATTTCAAGTTTCTGCATTCTCCATTATTAACTAGTCAAAAGCTCAACTTTAAAGACTGCATCATTTTTTGCTAAAACTTGTCCAATATTTCAAATGAAGGCTTCGTCTAAAATTTGACCAAATCTCTCACAAAAAGATTATTGTTTCTTATTGGAGTAGTAGATATCACTCAAATGTCAAGGAGTTAGTTTCTTGTTGTGTTACTAATATTGAAAAGAAAGGAATAAAAAACAAAGGAAAAAGAAAACCAACTTGAGTTAGTTTGCAAGATTCAAAAGTATTCACAATCTTTATTATTAATTATTAAACTTAATTAAGATATCACTCAAATGTCGTGGAGTGTAAGCATGATCTTTACACATGGATTAGCCTATTATCTACATTAATTAGACTCCTTCAATTTCACTATCTAGATTAAGTTTTCATTTTAAGTCTATCAAGTTTAATGACAATGCACTAGATTAAAAGATGCAATTGGATGTAGCATTTTGATATTATTGAAATTTTTGTAATCATTTTGCAACATAAAACTTATCATTTTAGTAGTATTAATTAATTCAAGTCTTTGTTTTTCCAAATCAACTACATATAGAAAGTAATTGAAAATGGTAGACAAAAATTTATAGCCAACTCTCACCCCCTTATCATAAGTCAAGCTTCATTGGATGATTTTTTTTTTTTTTTGGGAGAATTGGCGAGCTATTGGATGATTATTTTGCTAGGCTATTATAAAAATATTTTACTGTAGCACCTTTGTGAATAAAATGTTTTTTGTGAAAAAAAAAAAGAATTAAAAATTATGATTGGAATTCTTTAAAAACATGTTTTGGATAAGCATGCCTAAACAAATTGAGATTTTCCCACCTTTAAACTTGTGTCATTTTATTGAAAAGGGTAAATCTTTTATACACGTTGATATACATTAACAGGTCTAAATACATATCATATATATAAAGTTTGGTGTTCAAAATTAAATTAAATATTGTGACATACATCTATATCCTTCAATGTATATACTCATAGCGTAGAAAAGATTACTCCTACTCCTACTCCTAATAAAAATTTGTATTCTATGTAAATTTAAGATGAAGGAGTGTTTGTCTGAGTCTTCCTTAATTATAAATCTTATTAGAAGTTTAAAGTACCATAAATGGGTCCTTCCACTTTAAATAAATTAATCAAGTTTTCAGATTTGCCACACAACCTTTACCTACGTCAACTCACAAACAGAAGTCAAATGTGTATAGTTTTATTAGACCTTTGTAAAAGATGAGAATGTGGACACTATACAAGTTTTTTAACCATAATTCTAAATCCTACAACCTAAAGCCTAATCCTCAATGGTGATGGGTCTATCTAACAGATGCAAGCACCCATTAAGATGTAATTCAACCATCGAATTTTTAAAAAGATCAATTAATTAGGAAAAATATATAAACACAAGAAATTAATTAGGAAAAAGTATGTAAATGTAAAGAAGCAAAGTAATTTTTAGTATTTATATATATATATATACATAGTAGGTTAGATAAAATTTAGGTGTGTTAACGAATACTATCCATTAGAAAAACCCATTAATTAATAGTTCGCACTTGAATATATCCTATCTTCAAAGAATTAATGGTCCAGATTATGTCACATCATTTCATCAAATGATGTGATTAGACCAATTTTTAAAGATTCAATAATCCAAATTGTCCACACCACTTTATCAAATGGTGTGGCAAAATGTGGACCATTGTGTTTTTAATGATCGGATCAACCCAAATCTTGGCCTTAATTAATAACCTAATTAACAACCAACAAATAAATTAAGCTTATAGAGAGGACAAAAGTGGGGCCCATTCCTTCCTAACGAGGCATCAGATGACGTGGTCCCTCACGTTACTGCTGACGTGGGTGAAAACTCAGAGAGAGAAGAAGGTTACGATTTACGCGGAGAATCGTGTCTCAAAAGCGCGAGGACCAAAGCTGATGAGACGAGGCGGGGTAA